CAGCAGAAGACAAGGAGCTGCCCGTGCCGATGGCGCCGGGGCTGTCCCGTACCGGAGCACAGGTGACAAAACCCCGCACAGGCGTCCCCAAAGACCCCTGCCCGCCCCCAGCACCAGCGAGCGGCACATCACACCGGCTCCGGAGGAGACTTTCCTGGAGGAGACCTTCCACAGCACTCCAGGGTCATTAAAATAATTTAAGGTGAACAGGAAAAACAAGCTTTTGGTGCCTACAAAGCTCCGCAGTTAATCAGTCCCAGCCTTACCCAAACATCCGACTTAACCCATGCGGATGCTGGGGATTTCTGCCCCCGAATTGCAGGTAACCACCACCACCACCCCCTCCCGACAGCACATTCCTGCCCGGATGGGCACGGAAGTCACAAATACCAACTCCCAAGTCAGAATTTGGCTCTGCAGTGGATTTTCCGGAGCAGCCCTATCCCAGCCTCCTCCATCCGCCGCACACGAACAGACGCAACGGAGACACCCAGTCGCGCGTTCGCTGCAAGGCCAGACCCGACCCGGCGCAGCTCGGCGAGGACCGGCCACCACGGCAGAGCCGGATGAACGGCGCCGCGGAGCCTCGGCAGAGGCGCGAAGCCCGAGGCGGAGCCAGAACCCAAACACCACCTTTCCCAACCCCCCCGATTACCCAAGAGAAGGAAACGCCAACAGAAGCCAACAGCCAAATGCTTCGGTTTCACCGCCCCAGCAGCGCTTAACCAGGAGGCTTCTTCCTCTCCCCCTCAGACACCTTCAACTGGAAGCTGCCTCTGCGAAGGGCCATTAGTCTGGAGCCGGCCCGGCGGCCCTGCTTGCCCAGCTCTTCCCCCGACAGCTCCTGCGGTCACCGTCACACCAGACCTGCATTTCTTCCCCTCTCCTTCTTCAGGATAGAGCTCGGCTGCCCCGCAGCTCCCCACACAGCAGAGGGCACAGATCCCGTCCGTCGGGACGGCAGTCCCAGCCCCAAACCTCCTCCCCCAGGAGCCCGGGACCGCGCTGGACAGGCCCCCAGGTCGGGAGCTGCTCGCCGAGGCTGCTTGGCTGACGCTTGTTTGTGGGACCAAATACCTGGCCGCACAGTCGGCAAACCTTCCCAATTCCCGGGCCGGCAGACAGACGGGACGCTGCCCGCGGTGGCAGTGGGGTGGCCACCCCAACACCCGTCCCAGCACACTCGTCATCCCAAGGCATCACAGCCGCGGGACGGGTAACCGCAGCTGGCAAACTCACTACGGGACACGATGGATTAATGAGAAAAGTGGGGCTATAAACAGAGGATGAGCCGACCAAAGGGAGCTGAGGAGAAATAAGATTAATCCCTAATTGTCCTCTTCAGAAGGGTTCTTTTTTTTTTTTTTTTTTTTTGACCTTCCCTTGGTAGCGCTTTGTACCTGGGTCAGTGCTGGGGAGGGGACAGCGGGTCTGAGCCGGTACAGTAATGCCCATAGGGCAGAAAAAGATCCTGAACCCACCGGTAATTACAGCAAACCCGCCAGCCCCAGCTCAACAAAATACACTCGATTTCAGCAGCAGCAGAGGAGCATGCACAGCCATCCCGGGACACCCCACAGCAGGGAGGGACGGAGGAGGAGGAGGAAGCAGCGTTCAGCCACGCTGCGTCACCGGACAAAGTATTTGTAACCCCACAAGAACGAGCCAGATGCAAAAATAGTTCCGCTAGCAGTGGTGCCGGGGTAGGGCTGGGGGGGATTTTTGGTGCATGGGTTTAGTTAGGAGAGGGGGCTCTTTAAGTGCAGGAAGCGCTTTTCACCTCTAGTCATCGCCCTGTCTAATTCCTGCCACCTCAATTAATCCCTCAATCTAATTTCTGCCAGAGTGCCACCCACAGCCTCGATTCCCAATGCCACTAATGCCTGCCCTGACCAGCACCGGCCCCAGCAAAGGGACCCCGCAGCAACACCCCTCTCCGGTCACTACTGGGGTGCTGAGATGGAGCAGCACCAGCACCAACCAGGAATGGTGCCCGAACCACCGCACGCCGCCGGGGAGAAGAGGAAAATCCTAAATATAATCCCAAAGCTGGAAACTCCCAGCAGCGCTGGAGCTGCTCTCCCCAAGCCTCCCCTACACCGGCGCGTAACCGCCTGCGACGCTCGAGCCATGGAAACGGGAGCGCGGGCAGGGGACGCGCCGCCACCGACGTCAGCCGGGCAGCACCGCCAGGTCCCTACCAGAGCCCTGGATCGCACCCAGCAGCTCCTCGGGAAGACACCGGCCAGCCGGCTTTACCAATCTCGCCCCTTCCACCAGCAAAAAGACGCCTGATCAGGACTCACCTGCAGGCGAGCTTCCCGAACTTCCCCGAGCCAGGACAATTAGGCCAAGCGCAGAGTTATTAACCCAGGCAGGCGATAAATCTCAGCGAGGCTGGGCCCCGTGCGCAGAGGGGCTGAACCTCTCCCAATCCACCCCGACAGCACAAGGCTCACGCCAGCAGCTCCTTACAGGAGAGGAGGGATGGGCGCATCGTTAGTGCATTGGGGAAAAAAAAAAAAATACATATAGGAACACCCACCTTAGCGAGGAGCTCTTCCGGTCCTGCTGAGATCCACGATTCGAACAGCAGCCAAGCGAGAATGTTTTTAAGAAGTCTTCTATCCCCTCTTCTCCTTGACTTGTTAAATAAACCACCCAACAGAATCAGGGAAGCTCCCACAGAGAGTTCCTCGTACGGCTCTTGCAGTGGGGAAGCCAAACTTCCAGAGTCGGGGATCGGCGGTCAGTGTTAAAGCTGGTCGACTTGCCAGAAGCCACCCAATTTTTTTTTCCCCCCCCAAAACCTTCTTTTTTTTTTTTTTCCTACTTAATAATTTATTGGCATGGGGAGGAGGAAAAGGAAAGTCTGGAACTCACCCTGCGCTCTCTAGGCCATTTCTTTTTTTAAAGTCACCATTCCTGAAGAACTACCTCCCCTGTTCCCTTCTTACCAGCAGGACTTAATGCCGCCCTCGCAGACCCAGGCGAGGGGAAGGGTGCTCAGAGCACCTTACGCCTCGATTCGCTTTCTCAGTATAGCAACTCCTCCAGAAACTGGATCGGGTTAGGCGATAAACCTTAACAAAAAAGCCAGGCGAGGGTCACCTGAACCGGGTTATTCCTTTAGGATTCAGCCCATACCTTCTCCTTCGCGTCCGCTCACACGGGGAGCCCTCGCCTCCTCCCCACCAGCTCCTTAGGACGAGCTTATCTCCCGGGAGAGAGCCTGCTCCTAACGCCGGGCCGGGGGCCTCGACAGCCGCGCTGCCCTACGCCTGTATTTAACACCAAACCCCCCCAAACTCGCCGGGAGTTCGGCTTCAGGCCCCCAGGACACCGCCC